CGCTCGCTGTGGCCCCGCCTCTGACGAATCACATCGTCGGGTGTGCGGGCGGACGGGAAGTTTTTGGCCATCTTCGGCCCCCCGCGGGGGCCTTCGCCGGACCTCGGGGGTGTCAAGAGTTGGCCCAGGTCCCGGGGAATTCGATTAGGGGGTCGACTCCATGATTGCTTGCCCCTCGATTCTCTCCTAGTCGAGGCACGCGCAGGAGGTTCGTAGATCTACGAGCCTCCTTTCTGCGAGTTGCTCACGGGTTCGACGAACAGCTCAAGTGTGGGGTAGACCGCTTCTGTGGTCGATCCCCTTCTCGAGGACCTGGATCGAGCCCTCCGGGAGTCCGCGCGCGGTGACAGCTCACGACGCTGGGGGGGTCTGGGTCTTGGAGGGGGGACCCCGGTCGAGGCAGCGGCGGCCTTTCCCTCCCCACCCCTGGGGAGGAGGAGGAGGAGAAGAAGGAGGAGGAGGAGGAGGAGGATGAGCAGGAGGAGGAGCAGGAGCAGGAGCAGGAGCAGGAGGAGGAGGAGGAGGAGGAGGAGGAGGAGGAGGAGGAGGAGCAGGAGCAGGAGGGAAAACGAGGGAAGGGTAGCGGTGTAGGTGCCTTTTCCACCCTGGACCCTGGCCCATTTGGTCGAGGCGGACCCGGCCGTCGGGACGGGAGGCCCCCACAGGGAGGCCGATCCTCCTCGCCCGAACTTATCCTCGTCCTGGCTCCGTCTCAGTGTCCACTTTTTCCCGTAACCGTCTCGGACGTCCACAGAGGGGTCGGGGGCGGAAAAGAGGGGGGTGATGACTATAGGGGGGGGGGATCTCATGGCGTGGGCCATGATATATTTCCCCAGATTTCACGGCGCCTCTTCTTATTTCATCACGCCCCTGGCCCCCCGCTGGGTCGCGCACATGCCGCCGGTCATGCTTTGCACCCCCCCCTCTTGGACACCCCCCTCTTGGCCGCCCCCGAAGGGGGGGCGGGCCTCCGCTCTCGTGGAGGGCGCCGGGCAGGGCGTGGGGAGCGCCGCCGCTGGCTCCGCCGGCCCTCCTCCGGCGCGTGCTGTGGGGCGGCGGGTCGCCGTTCGAGGATCGAGGGAAGACGTCGGTCGGGCGTGGCCCTCTACGGGAGGAAGAGTCGAAAATAGAAAAAATAGTCAGGGGACGATCTTTCGACTGTTTTTTTTTTCATGCTTGAACATGTCTTATTCTTCGTCCAAGGTGACCCTGTAGGAGGACATGCTCGACCTAAGGGAAGACACACGGTGGCGTGGCCCTCTACGGGAGGAATACAGTCAAACACCCTCATGAGGACGCGCGACTTTGCTCAGGGTACCCTTGCGTCCTTGCTCTTCCTTGCCCTTGCGTCCTTGGGGTTTTCGTCGTCCGCCGCCCTCCAAATTTTCGAATCCCAACTTCGGCTTCAAGGGTCTTGCGTCCTTACCGCGCGTCCTTATTAGGGTTTTTGACTGTACTCAAAAATAGTAAAAAAATAGTCAGGGGACGATCTTTCGACTGATTGGCTTTTTTGGAGCATGCTTGAACATGTCTTATTATTGTTCGTCCAAGATCCCCCTGTAGGAGGACATGCTCGACCGAAGGGAAGACACAAGGTGGCCACGATCAAGATTTCGCGGGATCTTGTCGTGGCCGATCTTGGTCAATCTGATTCTCACCACCTACCGAACCACCCCAACCCAACCCGAAGGCCTCCATTTGCCTTCCATTTCCAGTGGGTGAGGGAGGTGTCGGAGAACATTGACAAAAACACATGGAACTAGTACCCCTCCAACCCGGAATTGGGGTCTTCGGGTTGGGTTGGGGTGGTTTGGTAGGTAGTCAAGCTCGGCCTCCTAGATGGGGTCGGAGAAGATGGGGCCAGGGGATCGCGCCGCATTGCCGATACATCGGCGATGCGTCTCGATGTGGAGCTCGAATTTCTCCACGCCGACGGTGCCGATGCATCACCGGGTCGCCGATGATGCGGCGCGCTCTTTCGACCCCATCCGCTCGGACCTCACTTGGGAGGCTTTAGTTGTGGTTCATGCTGTCCGTCGCCGATTCGCGAGGATCATCCACGATTTGACGGTGACCAAGGTGAAGGGTCACCAAGATCGGCACCAGCGCTTCCGCGTTCAGTCTTGGTCGTGGTCACCGCTTTCCCGGATCCCCGACGTGTGATTTTCTCACGCCGTGGACCGTTGGAGGTCTCGGTCTCGCTCCGCTTCCCGGGACTGGTTGTCCCTTGGAGGTCCCAGCGAGAGTCCACAGGGGCCGAAGACGGCCAACATTGCCTCGTCGTGTTTTTTATTCGACGCCAGCATGCTTTTGTTGTCAGGTCAGATCGGCGCTCTCTGGGGTGCCGGAGAGCATCCCGAGGCTGGAGCACCTTCGAGAACCCACGTCGAAGGCGAGTTTCTCCCCTGGTCCTCGAGTTCTGCCCGAAAAGTTTGGCCGCTCAGACCAGGGGGGAAACTCTGGGATGCACCCCCAGGTGGCTCTTCGGACGCACTCCCATCGAAGGTGGACCCACAATTGCTGGTCCAGTCGAGAACCCCCTGGAGTCGGGGACTGGGGTCGCTATAATCATCTCCCGGCAGAGCGAAGATGCCCGAGAGCCCCGAACTTCGGATCTCCCGAGGAGCAGCCCCGCTTTCGCTTCCAGGCAAAACCAAGTCATACCACGCGCCTCCTCGTCAAGCGGCCTGACCAGCGCAGGCCGTAGTTTGGCGTCGCTTGGTATCTCTTGGAAGCGAGGGTGGTCAAAAGCGAGGTAGGTTTGTTTGCGCCCTATATGATCATCTCCCGTCAGAGCGAGAACCCCGAACTTCGGATCTCCCGAGGAGCAGCCCGACGGCACGCTGCGGGACTGCCGCGGCCAGACCGTCGCGCTGCACGCGGGCGTGCGCAGCGCGCTCAACGAGCTCGTGGACGGCCCGGACTGGCAGGGCGTCACCGTGGCCGCGGCCTCGTGCTGCGACGAGCCCGCGTGGGCGCGCGAGTGCATTCGAGGAACAGACGATTGACTTCGATGCTGGTTTCGGGGACCTCCCTGGAGCCCACCCAACGGATCTGTTCGATCCCAGTTCGACTCTAGTTCGACTCAAGTTCGACTCAAGTTCGACTCAGGTTCGATTCAGGTTCGACTCAGGGTCGACCCAACTCGACTGACGTTCGACGCAGCTTCGACGCACGAGTGGAACAATTGGCTCCAGGAAGGTCCCCAGATCGAGCATCCAAATTGACCAGCTTGAAACCTATCCCGATCCCTATACTTGGCATCACCTTACCTCGGTGCCGACCTTGAGGACTCCCTTCGCTTCCTGAGGGCGCGTCCCCAAAACTGTCATCGCCACTTTGGGCTTGTCAGTCTCAGGGATGGGGATGGGCACGAGGCCGGTGAAAGTCGACGCAGGCACACCTTTGCGGATGTCCGCGCGGATTTCTTGAGTCGGCGCGGAGGGCGCTCCAGCGCCGATCCGACTACTCCGCTGGGATCTCTGACAGTTTTCATGCTTGTGTAAGTTGGTTGTTCCTCGGCACGTGGCCAAGTTCTCCCTCGGCTCCGGACGCAGGCTGGAGGACGTGCTGACCATCTCGAGAGACAACAACGGCACACACGATCCGAGGAGCGTCGGGTGGTTCAGGCCTCCCACATGGGGTCCCAGAGATGGGGTCGGAGGATCGCGCCGCGGCTGGATGTTGATCCCGATTTTTTCAACGCTGACGGCAACGACTCATCGCCGACGTCGCCGATGCATCGGTGATGCGTCGCCGACGTGTCGGCCAAGCGGCGCGATCCTCCGACCTCAACTGCTCGGACCCCATCTTGGAGGCCTCCAGGTTGAGACAGCGGTAGGTGGCCTTCGGTGGTGCGTTTGGGCCCGGAAGGGGTCGGGGGACCGATTTTGAGCTGCCGCTGTGTCAACGCAGCCGGACATACTTCCGGAGTTCCACGTGGATCTCCTCGATCGGCGCAGGACCCACCTCCCCGGCGGTGCCCCAGGCGCCGCACCGATCCAAGAACTCTGCGCGGACTCTCGAGAAGTTCTGTGTATGCAGCTTGTTGTCTCTCAGCCATCGCCGAGATTTACAAGGGCAGCAAGCAGGGCCACCTCAGGACCATCGCGAGGAAGGTCGGGTGCGAGCTCGAAGACATGATCTTCTTCGACAACGAACCGTACAACTGCGACAACGTCTGCCAGCTCGGTGTCACGTGCATCTTCTGTCCTGGCGGTGTGACGGACAAGGTGTGGAGGACGGCATTGGAGTCGTTCCCAAGCCCCGGAGAAGTTATTCGTGCATAGGGCGAGCTCCTTCGGCACAGGGCCCTTCGGTGATGATTCTTCGCGCAAGAAGAGCAACAAAAACGCGGAGCCCTGTGCCGCCGCCCCCCCCGTGCGGGGCGATCTGGAGATTATCTTGATCTAGTGGTCTACGAGTGTCATCCTTGAGACTCGCGGGTTTGGGGCTGACGTGGGACTGTGGGTGCGAAGTTTGGGCGATGTTGGCGTCGTTTTTGGGGCCTCTGCAAACTATATCGGGTCCTTTTGTGATCTGGCGCTATCTTGGGGCATATTGTGAAGGCCTGACGGCCGGTGCCGCCGACCCTGAAAGACATCGACGACGACCAGGGAGGGGAGGAGGAGGAGAATGAGGAGGAGGAGGAGGAGGAGGAGGCGGAGATCAGGAGGAGAAGGAGGATGAAAAGGAGGAGGAAAAGGACTCCCCCCTGGGACCCCCCTTCCTGGGGAGGAGGACCGGAGGAGGACCGGCGTGGGAGAGGGAAAGGGGGGGGGGGAGGACCCCCAGGGACTGATGCGTATCCAAATCCCCTCCCCCCTTGGGACTCCTCCCCACTTGGTGGGGCGGACCCGAGGAGGACCAGCGCGCCGGAGAAGGACAGGCGTGGGAGAGGAGGACCCCCAGAGGCGATGCGAATCTGACCGCCCCCCCCCGGGACCCCCCCGCCGGGGAAGGGACAAAGGGAAGGGGCTTCCTTTCGACGTAATGAGGACGTGCATGGAATTTCCTCAAACTGCGAACTTGTTCCCCGAACGAGGAAGGGTGCTCTCTTTCTCTCTCTCTCTCTCTCTGTCTCTGTCTCCCCCGACGGGAGAGGAGGGTGGGAAGGAGGGGACCAAAGAAGGTTCCCCGTCGATGGGACCAGACAGACCCCCCACACACTCCGACAGGGTCGGCGGATTTGGGCCATTTTGGGATATGTTGGTAGCGAAGCATGCGACTAACAGGTAACGCCCGAGGCTTTTCGATTCGACGACTTGCGGCTCTCTCGGAACGTCTTGGGGCCCTCCCAGTGGATTCTTGAATTTTTTGGGGGCCATCTTGGGACCGCTTTGAGGCCGTCTTGGACCGCCTTGGGCTCTCGATGTACCTCTTTGGGTCCCAGTGGGGTGCTCTTGGAGCCTCCTGGGCCGGCGTTGGCCGACCCGTCCTGGTAATTAGGCAGAGCTCCGGGTTTCAATAGAAGGGTAATGGGGTGCCCGCGTTCCCAGCCGACAGCAGCATGCAGCATCCGATGCCCGTGGTGCCCGCCGAAGGCTTTGCACGCACGGCGCGGTTCGCCGATGAGGCGAGGTGGACCCCTGTCGGCAGGACCCCCACGCCCGTCTCCTGACGCAGAGTTGGGAGGAGGCAGGATTGAGAAGACACTAGAGGGAACGATCGGGGGTGGACAGAACCCCCAACAGTGACACGTCGATAAGTGAATTGTCCGTTTTCGGTTCTCGAGAGGGCGCCGTGGCCGTTATTTTCCAGGCTTGCGCCCGCCAGGTTTGGGCCTCAGGTCGTTTTCAGTAAACCACGTTTTACTAAAAGGGGGGTTTGTCCATCCCCGAAACGACCAGCAGGGGGCGCGCGCGACCTCGTCTCATCCCGCCTCCACGCCGCGCCGTTCCACCTCGTCTCGTCTCTCCCTCCAGGCTCCAGGACCCGGGGCTGTAGCGATGACCCGGTTGTTCGGGCTGGGGTGTCTTGGGAGTCGCTAGCAAGCCGCTAGGAAGTAAGCAAGGTATAAGAAGCATGACGACCACAACCAGCGCCAGCATTGTATTCAGCAGCCCAGCAGGGGGTCTCGCAGCCTGGCCTCCATCGTGGCGATGCCAGCTTGGGGCTCGATGTTGTCATCCAGTTTGGCGTGCTGCGTAGAAGGTTGATTGATTAACTTCCATTCATCAAGACCGGTGAGTCTACTCTGGGGGGTGTTCAAGCGTTGACGTCGTCCAAGCGTAAACGTTTGGCGAGCACGAAATTGCGCAGGAGGCGACGGAGCATCCTTTGGCGTGTCGAGAGGGTAGTGATCCGATAAGGGGTGGGGGAGCGCAGGCGAACTGTCCATTCCCGTAGTTCCGAAGAAAAGTCACAGCAGCCCTCGGTCAGCACGCGGCAGAAATCGGCTCTTCAGTTCTGGAGGGCGATGCTACCAGAGGCCTGCCGGACAGTCAGGCGGCTGGGCTTCAAAGTAGCAGGGTGGACTTATGATCAGGAGTTGAGAGTGATAGGAGCCCGTCAACCGTCAACTTGGCAATTCTGTTGCTCGGCGTGTGCTTAGACACGGGCGGCGTGGTAATGGTAGCGAAGCCTCATGCGGAGGAGCGAGGTGGAGGAGGACTCGCAAAAGGAAGAGGTAAGGGAAAGACGAGGAACCGGCGGGGTGCAATGCAAGCATAAAGAGGAGGAGCCTCCATTGAGGAGCAGAGGGAATAAGGAGGGGGACACATGTGCTTGCGAAGGACCAGGATGATGGGGGGCCCCACTGCAGAGTCAATGAAATCTGCGCGGTCCTGAAAAACTTACTGTTTGTATCATTGTCTCTCCATCCAGCTCAGGGGGCCTCCCTTTTTCTGCTTCTCTCTCTCTCTCTCCCTTTCTCTCTTCGCTTTTCAGCGTGGGCGCATCAAAGCTGACAGATGCCCGCTATCGTTCACAGAGGCGGCCCCAATGGGGTCAGAGTGGATGGGGACGGAGGATCGTGCCGCATCGGCGATGCATCGGCGATGCATCGGCGATGCATCGGCGCTGCATCGGCGCTGCATCGGCGCTGCGTCCGCGACGTCGGCGATGCATCTGCAACGTCGGCAATTGGTTGGTCTTGCCTTCGTGCGTGTTCAAGCACCCGTCTTCGACACCGCTGGCGTCCGTGCCGTAAGGTGTGCCTCCACGGGGCCTTCGCCACCTCGAGAGGTCCCCCGCTCCCCTCGTGAGGAGGACTCCAGGGCTTGTGATGGAGTCGTGCCCCTATCGGCAAAAACGGCGTGTGGCCAGAAAACACAAGTGACCGAAACCGTGCCCGCAATCGTGACCGAAAACACAGTGCGACTGAACTGGTGACCGACTCTGAAGATCGCGTCGGCTTCGATCTACACGTTTCGGTCACACTCGGGCGTTGTCAGGAAACTCGGGCCCCAGTTCGGTCACGCTCGGGCAGATATTCGGGAACAGTTTCGGGCACTCTGCGGGCAGGACTTGTGTCCATATCCACTGCAGTTTGGAGCTTCGGGCTCCCCTCCCCAGAAGCCCGAGGCGCACCAGATGTGGTTGAAAATCTGGCCCCCAGAGGCTCGGTGTGTGTCCATATCCAGTGCGCCTCGGCCCCTGCTGCGCCCCTTCTCAGGAGGTCCAAGACGCCCCAGAAATGGAAACAGATACAGCCCGCACACTTCACCCTCCGCTGGCTACGAGGCTACGCTCAGGTCGGGCATGCCCTCCTACAGGCGGATCCTGTAGGATAGAGCATCGTCAACACACATGCCACACACCAAGGATCGTCGGACAACTCGTCCCCAGACGAGGCTGCGCGAGGCTTGCTGCACCCTTCCACACCGCGGCCTGCACGCGGCCTCGGCCGCAGCGGCCGCCGCGGCGCCCCGCCCTGCGTGCCCTTCAGCCAGGGCCGTGCTCGCGCGGGCGTCGTATCGCCGCAGCCTCGCGCGCGCGGCGCGCGGCCTGCACGCGCCAGGCCGCCGCTCTCTCCTCTCTGGGCCCTGTGTGCGTGCCGCTGGCTGGGCGGGGCGCCCCCGGGGTGGCGGGCGCGCTCGCCGTAGGGAGGTGTCCGGCGGCCTTGGGCTCCGTGGGCGACCTTCCGGAGGGACAGAGAAACACACGCGGGCGCAAGTAGTCGTCGCTTCCCGGGAAAAGACAGGAAGACCTGTGGAAGTGGGGGGGAAGACGAGGACCCAGCAAGTGTGGGACAATATGGGGGATCCTGTTATTTGTGTGCGTATTCATTTGTGTGCCCCAGGGCCCCTTCAGACCTGCCACGCGCCGGGGGCAGCCCAGCGGCGCGCAGCGCAGGGCGCAGCTGCCGAAGGTGCCCGACGGAGCGGGCACCGCGACGGGCGTCGGCGAGCGCGCCCCCGCTCGCTGTCCGCTCGCCTGAGCGTGCAGCTGGCTGGCGCGTGGTGGCCGCTGGCATCGTCGCCCTCGTCGGTGTCCTTGTCACTGTCCTACTCCCGGTGGTCGCTGAAGTAGTCCCAGACCGAGAACTCAAGCGTTCCAGGCTTATCGACAGACACCGACGGGCGTCGGCGAGCGCGCCCACGCCCGCTGTCCTCTCGCCTGAGAATGTCGCTGGCTGGCGCGCGGTGGCCGCTGGCGTCGTCGCCCTCGTCGGTCTCCTTGCCACTGTCCTCCTCCCGGTGGTCGCTGAAGTAGTCCCAGACCGAGAACTCGAGCGTTCCAGGCTTATCGACATGGAACTATGTGGCTGCCAGGAGCAGGCCGCATGTGTTCTGCTCGGTGAGGTGGCGGAGGACGTGGCAGTTGTGTGATGTCCACGCGCTTGGCCGACGTGATTGCCCTCCTGCTGACGATGCCCTCGCCTTGGCGGCACGCGCCGCCAACGTCGGGCCTTTGAGGGCGGCGCCGAGCTCGCCGCCGATCTTCTCTCCAACAGCAACTCTCGAAGAAGAAACAACCAGATAAACATACACTGTTGGCGCTCCGCGCGGATGTCTTGGATCCGCGCCTTGGCCCACTGGCGGCGCCTCCAGCGCCGTCCGAGGCGCGCTCCGCGCGCCAGGGAGGGGGGTCCGGCGCGAATCCAATAAATCCACGCGGAGCGCAACAAATTTATGTTCACAATGTTTGTTCTTCTTCTAGAAGAGCGGGACCAGGAGTGGAGCAGGGGCATTCTGTCCTCCTCGCGTTGGCATTCAGTCATCCCTGCTGCGTCTCTCCTGAAGTGGTCACAGATCTAAGTTAGGTGTTGGCCCCTCGAGCGCGAGCACGTCTCGCGATCCCTTCCTATTTGGGCTCGTTTGTGCCAGCGGTCGCCGGCAATATCTACTCGGAGCCAAGTGGTCGGTATATGAGTCAGTCTCGGTGTCCGTTCCATAACCTCGGCCAGCTCCCCGTCTCCCCTGTTTTGTGGCGCATTGGACAGCGATCGAGACCAGCAAGTGTCATTTCTGGGAAAGGATTCAGGACGAGGGTGAGGGTGAGTAAGATGAGCGCCTCAACTTCACAGCATCTCGACGGGACTACGTGATAACCTCTTTGCCTCTCCTCAGCCCAGCCCGCTTCTCTCCACCTTAACGTCCGTAGGTCTATTTCACCATGCACTCATCGTCCGTCTGTTTTCCTTGATTGTGTCACCCCCCGCCCGTGGCCCTTTTCTCCTCGCCCTCCACCCTTGTTCACATCCACCTCAGTCCATCTCGCCTCCTTGCACCTCCCCCCCCTTCACCCCACCCCCTCACTTTAACTCCCCTCGACCTCATCTGACCTTCTGTCCAAATCCACACTCACCTTCCTTTCTTTTTCCTCCTCTACCCTGTTATCTTCGCCTCACCTCTCTGTACCTACCTCATCTCGCCTGAGCTCGCTCTTCCCCCCACCCTGTCTCAGGCAATCGCGATTCGCCGACGTCTCAATGATGGCGTGGGCGTTCGCGACGACAGACCTGGGTAGCGAGAAGCTCTTCTCGGAGATGTCATATGGCTCGACGCCTCTCCCACCGCCAGGTCTTCAGGGAGGAGAGAGTTCCAGGAACAGTTGATTCAGCGAGCCATGGGCCCGCCTGCCATAGCCCCGCCAGCCCGCCAGCCGCCATCTCCTGGAAATAGCAGACTGTCGCAAGTCATGGCGCCAGTCCAATCTTCGACAACCAGCCAGCCGTTCGTCCGTTCGGCACTCGCGAGCGGCTGAGGCTTCGCCTCCTTTTGCCGCCCTCGCTCATTTCTGCCTGGGGGCTCCAGGCAGTTCCCGACCTCCTCTCGCACGCTTCTCCACACCGCGAGCACGCGCAGCGACCCGCTGGCTGCGGGACCCGTGTCGCCGGAGGCAGCGACAACGGGGGCCCAAAGAATATATTACACCACCACCACGTCGATTCCTCATCTCTCCTCTTTCCAGCGAGAGGGAGGGGGGGAGGGAGGTGGTGGTGGTGTATATTTTTGGGCTCCCTGTAGACAGTGCCGCCGGAGACGGTGCACCGGGAGCGGCCCCGCAGCGAGCGCCTCGGCATCTCGGCCGGACCCAGCGCCCAAAGCTGTGGCGCCCGTGCCGGCGGCTCGGGCGCGGGGCTCCACCTCCCCACCTCACCTCCCCGCCTCCCTACCACTCCTGATGGCTGCTTTCCACCACCACCACCACCATCGCCATAAGCTGGAGGGGGATGGGGGTCCTCCTCCTCCTCCTCCTGCTCCTCCTCCTGCTCCTCCTCCTCCTCCTCCTGCTCCTCCTCCTCCTCTTCCTCTCCGTCCTCCTCCGCCTCGTCCTCTTCCTTCCCCCCGCCAACTTCTGGCGGGGGTGGTGGAAGAAAAAGCGCGCCGTCGAGTCCCCCTTCCTTCCCGCCTCCCTCTCCGCCATCGGCCGCCCCGCCCCGCCTCCCCCCGCCCCCGCTCCGCGCCCCCTGCCTCCCGTGCCTCCTCGCCCCCTCCCCCACCGCCCCCCCCCCCTCCCCTCCCAGCCACCCTGCGCCGCCCCCTCCCCCGTCTCTCCCTCTCCGCCCCCTCCCCTGCCACGCCCCCGTTCCCCCCCTCTACCTCCCTCGCCCCCCCCCCCCCTCCCCCCCCCGCTGCCCATCTTCAGGACCTCAACGCCGCGAGTTATCCCGACCGCTACGTCTTGGCGATCCTGAATCGTAGCAGAGCACCAGCACCGCGAATCAACGTTACGGTTGCGCCCTGACGATCCAGACTCGCTCCAAAGCACAATTCCTGGTACGTTCACCATGAGAGCCAGTGATACTGTTGAATCTGCGTGGGCGACGGCCGCATTTTGAAAGCGACCCGCCCTCAATCCGTGAAGCTCTTGCAAGTGTAATCAACGAGTGTGCGCTCAGGCGAGAGCCACATTCTGAAAATCAACTGCCCTTAATCTGTGAAACCCTCGCAATACAAAAATACGAATGTGCGCGGCGCTAAGGCGATAGCAGCAGTTTGAAAACGGCCCGCCCTCAGACCGTAAGACTTTTTGCAATCTTGTATTCCGAATGTGCGCGACGCCATGGCGAGAGCCAGGTGTTGGAAGCGACCCGCCCTCCATGTGTGAAGCTGTTGCCAGTGTTTTTTGGCATCATGGCCATACTTGGTGAGGAATACTCGGGCGACACGCCCGGCCCGCCCTTTCGACTGGCCTCGGGGTGCGACAGGGAGGATATATTCAGAAGGAAAAGGAATGAAGGAGGAGGAGGACGAATGTGCGCGACGCTATGGCGAGAGTCAGATGTTGGAAGCGACCCGCCCTCCATGTGTGAAGCTGTTGCCAGTGTTTTTTAGCATCAGGGCCATACTTGGTGAGGCATACTCGGGCGACACGCCCGGCCCGCCCTTTCTCGACTGGCCTCGGGGGGCGACAGGGAGGAGATATCCATAAGGAATCGGAAAGAAGGAGGAGGAGGAGGAGGAGAAGGAGGAGGAGCAGGAGGAGGAGAAGGAGGAGGAGGAGGAGGAGGAGGAGGGGGAGGAGGAGGAGGGAGGAGAGGAGGGGGAGGAGGAGGAGGAGGATGAGGAGGAGGAGGAGGAGGAGGAGGAGGAGGAGGAGGAGGAAGGAGGGGGAGAAGGAGGGGGAGGGGGAGGAGGAGGAGGAGGAGGAGGAGGGGGAGGAGGAGGGGGGGAGGAGATATTCATAAGGAAAAGGAATGAAGGAGGAGGAGGAGGAGGAGGAGGAGGAGGAGGAGGAGGAGGAGGAGGAGGAGGAGAAGGGGGAGGGGGAGGAGGAGGCCGATGCGGACGGCCGCCGCGGACATGTGCGGCGGCCCGCGGCTCGCGGCTGCGACCCTCGCCGCGTGCCCCACCCTGCTGCCCCGGAGCCTGGCCGGCATCTCCTGGGCCTTCGCGCGCGCTGGGCACCGCCGGCCCTGGGTGGCGGTCGTCGCCGCCGCAGTCGTTGTGGTGGTCGTCGTCGTGGTCGTCGCTGTGGTCGTCTTAGTCGTCGTGGTCGTCGTGGTGGTCGATCGTCGTGGTCGTCGTGGCCGTCGTCTGGGTCGTCCTCCTCCTCCTCCCTCTTCTCTCACTCCCTCTCCCCCTCTCTCCTCTCCTCTGCGCCACTGGACCGGCGGCGGGGGGTTTGGGAGGGGGTGGGCGTGCGCGGTGGGTCCGGCCGCCGTGCTGCCTCGCTTCACGCCGCCTGGCGGCCGCGTTCCGGGGCGAGAGGCGTACCGCTCCCCGCTTCGGAGCACGGCCCAGAGCCAAGGGGACAGGGCCCCTTCCTGCAGCAAGCGTTGCCGCACTCCTGTCTCGCCACCTGCTCTGCTCAGCGGCGAGCGGAAAGGGGGGGAGTGAAAAGGAGGAGGCCTTCTCAGGAGGCGGCGGGACTTCTCAGAAGCCCTCGCCCCTTCTGAGAGGTTTTTTGTGTCTCCGGCGAAGGCTCAGAACACTTCCCAGAATTCCAGGGGACTTCCGAGCCTTCTGAGAAGGCCTTCTGCTTCTCGTTTCCCCCCTCTTGCTCGCCGCCAATCTGCCCTCGTGGGCCCTCTTCCTGGACGCTGCTGCTCGCGGCCCCCCCTTGCTGCACTCCGCCGAAGCCTGTGCCGCTGCACGCCGCCGCAAGACGTGGTCTCATGGGGGCCGCCCTCGCACTTCCTTGCCTCCACGGCCTCCGCCCAGGTCCTTCTTCCGAAGAAGGAAAACCACCATGCAGCCGGGGCCCATGCCAAGAAACACCCTGCCTGCCTCCAGGGTGCCCTGGGCCTCTTGGGTTTCGATGGTATTGCCGTGGAAGGTGTGACGTGCCCAGACCAACAAACTCTGTGGGCGTCCTAGTGTCTCCGGGTTGGGTGGGTTCCTTGTGGAAGGTTTCTTGTGGACGGGTCTCCACTGTAAGCATAAATCTTCGGCGCGTCGCGAGGATCCCTTGGATCCGCGGTGGGCCCCCCCCCGGCGGCGCCTCCGGCGCCGCCCCTGGCGCGCCCCGCGGGCCCGGAGGCGGGTGCAGGGCAGATCCAAGAAGCCCGCGCGGACCGCACAAAGTTTGTTTTGAGCCGTTTTGTTGCTCCTCTAATTTCCTGCATTTCCCGCTGGGCCCGCGACCAGCAGATGCTTCGCCGAGCCTGTTGCATACCCGTGGCTCGTGGCTCTTGCGCCACGCCGGCGCCCTGCCTGCGGCCATTGGTGCCTTATGCCTGTCTGGGCGCTTGCGGCAGCTTCCGCCGTCGTGTCAGCGTAGCAAGAGCGATGGGGGAAAGAGAGGAGAGGAGGAGGTTAAGATTTGGCAGAGACTCTCGGTGCCCTCTTGGACGTCTCTCGGTGCTTCTTGGGGGCGTCTCGGGGGGGCCTCCTGGGGTGTCTTGGAGGCGTCTTGGGGGCCTCATGGACCTACGAGGTCGTCTCAGTGCGTTTTGGCGCCTTCGGGGAGTCTCTTGGGCCGTCGGGGCCTCTCCTCCGAGCGTTCTCGAGCCGTGATGGGCTCTCTTGGACTCCCCTGGAGCCTTATTTGAGGCATGACGGGCCGCGACGGAGTCGTCTTGTGAGCCGCCAGGAAGTACGGATAACCAACTATGTACAAGAACGGTGCGTTTTCAATCAGCTGGGCCTCTTTGGTCCTCTCTTGAGGCCTCTCGTGTGGCCCGTTGGGCCGTCTTCGAGACCTCTTGGTCATCTTCGAGCTCTTCTGGGGCCTTGTTGGATGCCATGCTGGCTGTCTCTCAAGCCTTGGCGACCGCCATGGAGCCGCCGGGCAGCCTGTAAAGCTTCGGTGGCGGGCGATGCAGGCGGGTATGCGCTACGAGGAAGGAGGGGCTTCGCACACGCCAGTGATCGTGCCTGACAGCAGTCGACATCATACGACGCCCCAGCGGCTGGCGTGCGGGGGGATCACAGCGGCGAACGAGCGGCGCCCCATCAGCACGCGGGGACCTGCGCTCCCCGAGAAGCGACGAGGGGCGGCCCCCTGCGCAGGCCTCCCCAATTCGCCCTCCCCCCGTCGCGGGCAGCCCCCCCCCCCGCGCGCCGAAGGGGGCTTCCGGTCCTTGGCGCGGCGCGCCGACGTGACGCAGTTGACCCCCGTCGCCCCTCCCCCGGATCAGGTACAGTCGGACCGAGGCGTAATCAGGAGGGAACAACACCACACAGACACAGTTAATCGTCGATTTCCCAGAAAATGTGGTACATATGGGAAGTGGGGGGGAAGACAAAAATCCAGAAAGTATGGACAAATATGGGGAATCCGCTTATTTGTGTGTATTTATTTGTGTGTCCCAGGGCCCCTTCACATAAGATCGAGGTCGGTTCAGGGAGGGTACCCTCATGGTCTTCCTGTTAGTCCCCCCCGATCAAGCACAGTCGGACCGAGGTGTAGGATAGAGGTCGGTGCGGGGAGTGTACCCGGATCTTCTTCGTGTCTGTTGGACGTGCTCGTGCATCCTCGGGGAGGGCACCCGTACCCTCGAATGACCCCACGTCTTGGGGTGTTTGCCCGCCGCAGGGTCTCATGCTCTCGAGGGTTGCTCCTCTGGCCCAGGTCCGACTGCAGGGAGTTCAGAGGCGGGCGCGGGCCGCCCCCCTCCCTCCCTGGTGAGGAACTTCTGCCTGTTCGGTGCCCCGTGACTGGGGGAAG